TCTTCCTGGAGTCATTGCCAATGTGACAGCCTTGGGGCCAGCAGGGGGAGGTGGTCTGGAGTCCTCAGGGGAGTGGAGAGCTCTGTGTTCCTGGAGAGGGCAGGCCTGCTTCGGCCAGGGCCAGGGTGCTCGGCCACCAGCCTTGGCCCGCCTCCTGGAGTTTGCCCAGCCCCTCTGCTGCCAACTGGAAGGGTGGAGCAGGCAGGAAGGGGCTGGGGGCCGTCGGGTGGGGCCCTTACCTTTCCACACGGCCCATCGGCACAGTGCACACGGGCCGCCAGCGTATTTAACAGGCCACCCAGCGCCTCACGATCCAGAGTGCCCTTGCCTGAGGTAAGCAGTTTCCACGGACGGACGGGCTGGGCTGCTGTCGATGTCACCACCAGCATGGTCAGCAGCAGCCCTGGGTTGAACTGAACCAGGACCCCCATACTAAGGCCCTAAAGGGCTCTGTGTTGCTGTGGGGAGCCTGTGTGCCTCTGGGTGGCCTGGGGCCAGACTGGGGCTGGGTTGACCTGGGCCTGGCCCCAGCAGAAGGACCTCTCCCAGGTATTTCCTGGAGGCCTCTGTGATTGGCTGCTGGAGGTGCTGGGTTAACCATTGCAATGGCAGGTCCTCACTGAGGTGTGGAGCCACTGCCTGTAGGAGGACTGGGCCCCCTCCTCTTCCCTGGGTCCGTAGCCTGGGACCCTTCTCCCATGCCTGCAACCTCCCAGTGCTTCAGGGAGGGCCACACTTCTTCCCCCAGGGCCTGAGGTGTCTTTTCCTGTGACACTCTCTCTGGGGACCTGGGAGAGAGGTACAGGGATGCCCCAGCTGCCTCTGGGGTACGTGCTTTCTGGGGACACAGTGCTTTCTGCTCTCAGGTCCTGGGCTGAGGTCTCTTTGGGGACTGACAGGCTGAAGTCTGAGGGAATGGAATGGTGCTTGCTACATCATGCTTCCTTGACTCACCAGAGAAAATCCCCTAGAAATGGGCAAAGCTCTGACACAGACAAAAGGAGGCACTGGCCCCCCCTGGCCTGGGTCTCTTGGGGTCAGGAAAAAGTTGAAGCAAGATCCTGAGCTTTGGGCCCAGCAAGGTTGGGGGAGGCTATGGTTCCCCACCCTGCTCCTCTCTGCTGGTTCCCAGTTGGCCTTTGAACTCTATGCCTTATCTCTACTAGGTGGTAGTCTTGGGGAGGAGCAAGCAGACCCTGCCTTCTGGAGGTGGAGTGTGTCCCTCCTGCTGAGTTCAATAAACCTGCCCCATACATTGTGGTTCTAGCTGAGAGCATGAGGACTCTGCCCCTCTGTTCTGCCATGGGTGGGGTGGGACCAGCAGGGAGAGTAGCAGGCCTGGGTCAGGTGCTCTTTGACCTGTCTCACCCATGAGCACTGGTGCTAGGTAGCACGATGCCCCTTTGGCTCGGGACACCTGCAGTGTGGCACCTGTCTGTGGGCTGGATGTAAGGTGGAGCTAGCAGGGAGGGGATGGGAAAAGCTGCCTTGGGGTGCAGATAGTCTCTGGGCCCCTAGGACAACAAGGAAGACAGTGCTGCCTGCAGCTCTCCCCCAACCCTAGGACCATAGGGTTGGCTGAAGGCTAGGACCGGTGCCTCCACCCACAACCTCTGGGTAGCCACCCCCACTCAGGGTTCCTGGGCTCAGTGCCTGGCCTGGCCTGGGTGTCCCAGGTCTTCCAGGCATCTGGACCCAGAGTCAGGCCTGAGGCCTTGAAGGGATGTTCATGGCCTCTATGGACCTCTGGGCAGGAGCCCAGAGCACCCCACCCCCAACTCCCTTCTCCCAGCTGATACCCCTTTCTAGCCCATCAGAAGCTGCTAAGAACATTTGCCCACCTGGCAGCCTGGTGCCCAGCTCTCTGGTGCAGCCAGTTCTTTGGCACTGTGCCCTATCTGCATCCCCAGGCCCTGGTCACATTTTCATCGCTCAGCAAGCTCAGTGAAATTGCTCTCATCCTGGCTCAGCGCCTGTGGCTCAAGTGGCTAAGGCACCAGCCACATACACCTAAGGCGGCAGGTTCGAATCCAGCCCGGGGCCCGCCAAATAACAATGATGGCTGCAACCAAAAAATAGCCGGGCGTTGTGGCGGGCGCCTGTGGTCCCAGCTACTTGGGAGGCTGAGGCAGGAGTCTCGCTTGAGCCCAGGAGTTGGAGGTTGCTGTGAGCTGAGATGCCACAGCACTCTACCCAGGGGGACAGCTTGAGGCTCTGCCTCAAAAAAAAGAAAGAAAGAAATTGCTCTCATCCTAAAAACAACTCATTGACCAGTCTTTAAAAAAGGCAAAAACATAAACCCATGTTCTCCAGCATTTTTCACAATAGCCAAAAGATGGAAACAACCCAAACATCCATCGATGAATGAGTGGGTAAATAAAAGTGGCCTGTTGACCTTAAAAAGGAAGAACATTTCGACACCTGCTATAATATGAACCTGGAGGACATTATGTTGAGTGAAATGAGCCAGACACAAAAATGCTGAGGTAGAATCACCAGAGCCGGGAATTTAAGGTCACAGTGAGCTGTGATTGGGCCACTACGCTCTAGTCTGGGTTACAGAGTGAGACTCTGGCACTGGAAAAATAAATCCTGTATGTATCCCATTCACCTATGGTGCCTATAGTAGTTAGATTCATAAAGACAGGAAAGTAAACAAGGGGCTGGGGAGGATGGGATGGAACTGTGCTGGATGGATGCAGTTTGGAAACAGGAAATTTCAGAGACTAGCCGCAGTAGCTTGCGCCTGTAATCCTAGAGCTCTGGGAGGCTGAGGTGGATGGATTGCCTGAGCTCACAGGTTTGAGACCAGCTTAAGCAAGAGCAAGACCCAGTCTCTAAAAATAGCTAGGTGTTGTGGCCAATGCCTATAGTTCCAGCTACTTAGGAGACTGAGACAAGAAAATAACTTGAGCCCAACAGTTGGAGGTTGCTGTGAGCTATGACATTACAGCACTCTAACAGCACTCTGCTGAGGCCAGCAAAGTGAGACTCTGTCTCAAAAAAAAAAAAAAAAGAACTGGTGGACAGTGCTAATGGCTGAATGGCACTGTGAATACACTTAATGCCATTCAACTGTATACTTAAAGTGGTTAAAATAGCAAAATTTTGTTTTTTATCATAACAAAAAATTACAATAGTCATGCCTATTGGCTATTTTAACAACCAGTCCTGGCCATCTGCCGCCTCTGGCTCCTATCTGCCCTCCTGAAGTGCCCCAGGCACTGGGAACCCCACAGCCTTTCCTGGTCTTGCCCAGTCTGCCCTGGACTCAGCCACCTGGGGTTCTCTGGGCCTCCTGCCCCACCTCCCAGTGCCATGTCCCTGACCCCACCTGTACTCTAGACTCTCTATTTTTTTTTTTCTTTTGAGACAGGTCTCACTTTGCCACCCTCAATAGAGTGCCATGACATCAGCTCACAGCAACCTCAAACTCCTGCACTCAAGCGATCCTCTTGCCTCAGCCTCCCGAGTAGCTGGGACTACAGCCCACCTCCATGCCTGGCTATTTTTTTGTTGCAGTTGTCATTGTTTAGCAGGCAGCCCCTGGCCAGGCTCAAAACCTGCCAGCCTCAGTGTATGTGGCCAGTGTCCTACCCACTGAGCTATAGGCACCGCCTGTCCTTTAGACTCTTGATATGACTCCTGGCACCTGTTAATGGTTGACTTGTGCCCTGAGCTCACTCCTACACCTCTCTTTGACCTTCAGCCTTCCATGTCCAGTCGCCCACTTAAGGACTCTTGGTGATCAACCAAGGCATCCTCAACTCAGCCAGTGCATGAAGATCCCTGCCTGCCTCCTCAAGTCCTATTCCACCCCTTTATCAGCTCACACAGAAGATAGCATGATGCCCCTTTAGCTGGGGACACCTGCAGTGTGGCACCTGTCTATAGTCTGGATATAAGACTTCCAACATCTGAAACCACATGCCTCATCCCACTGGTGCCAGATGCTCCTAATGAGAGGTCCTGGTGCTCTCCTAGCCACTGAGAATACCCACAGTTTAACTCAGAATGGCATGCCTGGCTCGGCGCCTGTGGCTCAAGTGGCTAAGGTGCCAGCCACATACACCTAAGGTGGTGGGTTCAAATCCAGCCCAGGCCTGCCAAACAATGATGGCTGCAACCAAAAAATAGCTGGGCATTGTGGCGGGCATCTGTGGTCCCAACTACTTGGGAGGCTGAAGCAGGAGACTCACTTGAGTCTAGGCGTTGGAGGTTGCTGTGAGCTGTGATGCCACAGAACTCTACCCAGGGGGATAGCTTGAGGCTCTATCTCAAAAAAAAAAAAATGGCATACCCTTTATTCTGAGCCCACAGTTGCTAAAATGATAGAATGTACTTCTTGGAGCCCACAAACGTGGCTACATGGTTTGCTGCTGTCCCTGGAGGACAGACTGCTAGTGGCAGGCCCAGCCCTGCGCTTCAGGCACTGCCAGGCAAGGGACTTGGGTACTCTGCTTAGATGTTTCCAGGCCCCCTTGGTGACAGTCATGACAAACTGCCCCAAGAAGTTATCTTTTGGGGCTCCACATAGCCTGAAGCCCTGGGCTGGCACGTGCTGTCCCCATAGTGGTAGTTGTAGGACTGGTGAGGCTGGGGTCATGGTAGTGTGGGCAGTGCTCTGCTGTCCTCTGCAAAGCCCCAAGCTGCCCAGAGCACCCAAGTGAGAGTGGGAGGGGTGTGTGGCAAGTGCTATGGAGGCTGCAAACAGGCTGTGTGAGGGTGGGCGGCAGGATGGAACTGGGTTGCTACACAAGCTGTAGGGGCTCTGCACTGAGCCTGTTCTCAGCAGGGCAGGGGGAAAAAGAAAAAAAAAAAGCTATCCATAGCAGGTCAGACAACAGCTTTATTGTGGGAAGGGGATTCCAACTTCCTGACACACCACATCCACACAAATGGACTGCTGCAAGACCTGTGCCAAAATCCAGAGCACATGTGGAGGACAAAAGAAGCAAGAACCATCACTGCAGGTGTTGCTCCCTGAGCAGTGGCTTGGCTCAGGCATGCAGGAAGCGGTTGAATGCGTTGTAGGCTGACTCCAGGTCAAAGAGCATCTGGCGCACCTGGGAGTCATCCAGCTCATCAGAAGCCGACATTCCACTCAGGGTCTGTAGCCTGTGGGCAGAGCACCATGGGGGTGGGCAGGCAGAAGGGCCTCAGTGGTGCCACAGGTGGCTCTACCTGGCCATGTGGGACACTTACCACTGGCTGACCGTCTGGCGGCCCTCAAAGTCGGGAGGGAGGTGGCTCATGCGATGCATGGTCTCCATCAGCTCCCGCAGGTCGGGCTGGATCTGCAGATGGGAGCACATGGCTCTGGGACCCCACATCTCAATCTGCCCTTCCCACCTGCAGCCCCCTCCCTGCCGACCCCTGCACCTCATCCATGGCACGTATCTCCAGACGCAGTTTGTCCATGACCGTGATGAAGAGCTGGGGACAAGTGTGTGTGTGAGGCCTTTTGGGTCCACCTGGAGTGGGGACCAGCTTCAGGGCTCACTGCTGGCCCCGTAGGGTCAGGCCCCCCAGCCCCTCTGCGACTACAGTGGTCTAACTGCTTAGACCTTCTTGCTGTATCCCATTCTGAGCTCTGGGGGCTCCACACCGCATGAGGCCTCAAATTCACAGCCCACCTAGGGGCCTCCTGGGCTAAAGGGTGAGTGTGGGTCCTGGCCACCTTAAGAGCTACATGGGAACTGAGGAAGCCCTCACACAACCCCTCCCTCAAGTCTGAGTTGACCTTGTGTGCCCCTCCCAGGAGTCTGCGGGTTTGCCTGGGAGCTTCAGGGGGCCTCAAGGAGTCTGCCCAGATGTTGCCCTCGCCATTCCCAGCTAAAGGGGCATCCTCTGTCCAATGAGTCAGAATGCTCTTTGTTCTGGAGGCCCTGGGACCCTGCCAATGTGCCACGAGCTTGGGCAGCCTCGGCCCTCCGTACCGAGACGACGTCAGCAATGCAGCGGTTGAGGTTGCCCTTGTCATCCTTGATGGTGATAGGCCGGTCCTCTTTGATCCTCTCCATGGCCAGTGGGCAGTCCAGCTGTGGGGGATGGATGTGCATGTCAGGCCTGGCCAGGCCCCACCCCAGCAACACCTCACACCTGTTAGAAGGAACCAGCTCACTTACGCGGAACTTGCGGCAGAATTCATCAATGGAGTTGATTTCCGAGCCCTGAACCTGTCGGAAGGCTGCTTTGTACTGTACCAGGAGCCGGGAGCAGGCTGCAGTGTACCTAGGAAGTGCACCCACTGCCACCTGAAGCCAGCCCCTGCCCAGCTCACTTGACTATCCCTTAGCCCAGCCAGACACAGCAGCTCTCATGAGCAGCAGGGCAGACAATGGCCAGTGAGAGCTGAGGCTTTCCATTGGGTTGGCACAGAAAAGAGCTTTGGACAAGAGCAAGAGGGACTGAGCAAGGCCCAGGCCATGCTGGAGCTCAGCACTAGGCAAAGACCTAGCCACTCCACCTCTGCCCGCCCTCTGGACCATGGTGGCCAGCCCTCCCTGACAACCCACTGACTGCTCACAACCTTATGGGCTAGGCCAGCACCACACATAGACTGGATATCCCTGCTCATCTTCTAAGTTCCTTTCATTAGTGAGGCTATCTGTGTGGGGTTGGGGAACCACACCCCAAGAGCCCCTTGGATGTGCACACTGTCCTTTAACTCCCCTCCAGGAATTCCCTGGCTGAGACCCAGAAGCACTCTCATAATGCTGTCCCCAGATATGGGCATCATATGCCCTGGTGGAACCCTGGCTTGGGCCCCAGACCCCTGATCCTGCTGCCCACTGAGTACTCAAGCCCCAGAGGGCAGGGATGGCTCTGAAGACAGCAGACTCCTCACTCGCTGGGGGTGACACAGTCCTTGATGTATGCCTTCTCCAAGGCCTGCATCGTCTTCACCACTGCAAACAGCTCTGCCATGTTGTCATACCTGAGAACCACATGTCTATCAGTCCATGCCCCAAGGCAGGGAGGCTGCGGCACAGATCCACAGCCAGGCACCCTTGCCGTGACACACAGCTGTGGGGGGACTCTGGTCAGCCTGCTTCTCTTACCATTTTGGGCAGATGCCTCTCCGCACCTGTTCCTAGCCTGACCCTCAATGTGGCTGTTCTGGGAAGGCCAGGTGGGTGTGGGTAACGACATGTGGGTTGGGGGCAGCCTGGATGCTTGGACTTACTTCTCCCGCTCCCGGGCATTTTTGTACAACTTCACTTCCTATGGGAGAGAGTGAACAGAGACCTGGTTGAGGGTCACATAGATGTTTGCTGTTGGCCAACACCAGCCAGGGGGGTATCTGCCACTTACCTCATACAGCTCTGGCTTATTTCCAGGGGCTGCAAAAAAGCAGGCAAAGGGTTGGCAGGCTGGCCAGAGGGTGTGGGCCCAACCTCCTTTCCAGTCCTTTCCTCAAGGCCTCCCTGAGAGGCTTCTCAGCATCTAGAGGGAGCTGGAGGACAGGTGTTCCAACCACACACCCCTCTGTCTATGGGAGGGTCTACACAGGACACTGCCCCTGGAGGCAGGATGCCAGGCCCAGCTCTCCTGACCACACTTTGCTCACACCATGATGCAGCACATACTTTATAGGCTTTCCCCTGGGCTTAGAGACACAGGGATGCCAGGACCTAAGGTTCTGGCCACACTAAAGCCCGTCATCTCTGTACAGCAGGGCTCTGGGATCTCAGTGGTCCTGTGATGACTAAACTGCCCCCTGGCCACCCCCTAAGACTATATGAGTGTGTGTGTGTGTGTAGCAGGGGTGGGTGCATACAAACACCATTCACCCCACACTCCTCAGTAGCTGTACCTGGCTAGGTTCACACTCACCTCCCATGCCTGGAGTGGCTGGGATCCCGTGAAACATCTTGCAGGTTCTGGTGGCCACGGCACTGTGACCTGGGGAGCAAAGCCACTGCCGGCTCAAAGGTGGCCCCCAAAGGCCCCAAGTACTGGGCCTTAGGGGCTCAGGGCCTCATGGAAAGCTTCCTTGTCCTCAAACCAAGGAATGTAAAGGGAACATGGGCACCCTCAGGGCAGCTCTGAGAGGTTATCAAGGTGGACTGCCTTGGAGGTGCTGGTAGGTGCTGATGCAGGAGGGGAGGAGATAGCTGTTGGGCAAACCAGGGAAGCATATTTCAGGCACAGAAGCAGCTTAACAGGGAGCCTTCAAAAAGGAATGAACATAGAGAAATAGACAAGCTGTGGAGGAGATATCTAGTGTGGGGGTGAACTAGGGAATAAGTATAGAGAGTTTTTCTTTTTTTTTTTGAGACAGAGTCTCATGCTGTCTTCCTGGGAAGAGTGCTGTGGCGACCTTCAACTTGGGCTAAAGCAATCCTCTTGTCTCAGTTTTTCTGTTTTTCATACAGACAGGCGCTTTTTTGCTCAGGCTGGTAACTTGTGAGCTCAAGCAATCCACATGCCTCATACTCCCAGCATACTAAGATTATAGGGGTGAGCCTAGACTTATTTTTTTTTTTTAAAAGACAGGATTTTGCTCTGTCACCTAGGCTTGGATGCAGTGGCCAAAAACAGCTTGCTGCAGCCTCCAACTCCCAGCCTCAAGCGATCCTCCCACCTCAGCCTCCCAGAATCCTCGGATTATGGCCTGAGCAGCTGCGTCTTGTCCACATGCCATGGGAGCTACCAGTGTTGAAGACAAGCTGGCTGGGGAGAAGGAACGCAGCAAATGCTGCAGGAGGATCCTGCCTGAGGTGATGCCAGTGGTTGGGAGTGCTTCCAGATAGTCTCTGGAAGCAGAACCACCAGATCTGAAGGAATTTAAAATGGGTTAAGATTAAATAGAACTTAAAGACGTCCCTGTGGTATCAAGGCAGTAAAGTGAGATGCGAAGGGCACATGGCTTGGACGTGGACTGAGAGGCCCAGTCACGCTGAGCCTGCGTGAACACACCAAGAGCGGACAACACCCTAAGAGCAAGGAAAGGGGTGCACCGAGAAAGCGAACTGCTCTGCGCCGACCCATCGCGGGTCCCAGACCCGAGCGCATGCTGAGCAGCCTCCAGGCTTCTGCCCCGGCTGGCAGCCCGAAGCCTCTAGAACCGACGTTCCCTGGCACCCGCCCCAGCATACCTAGGCGGCGCGGCGAGTCTTGGAGATGGCGCCGGAGCCGGGCGCTCCCGATCGACGACTCGGCGCCCGCCCCTGTATCTGCGCCTGCGTGGATCCAATCGGCAACTCGGCGCTCAGCCCAAAATCCAAGCGGCAGGCCCCGCCCCGCTGCTGCGTAAACGCGCCCCTCCTTCCCCATTGTCCAAAAAGCCAAAGGTAGGGAGACAGCAGCTACATTTATTAAAGATTTGGATGGGTAGAGAGCGGGGGCGGTGGGTCAGAGGCGCCGGAAGAAGAGCTTGGAGCCTCGGTCCAGCGTGCACACGCCGGGGGGACCGGGCAGCAGCTTGCGCAGGATTTCCCGGTCCTCGGTGCATAGGTGTCTGCTGCAGAGCTGCAGCTCTCGCAGCTCCACGGTGACCTTGTCCCACAGGGCCAAGCCCAGGGGCCCCTGAACTGCGCAGCCTGCACCGGGGGGAGGGCAGCCTTAGCCCTGCAGGAGCCAGCGGCAACCCCTCGGTCCTCGGGGGCGTGTTCTCTTCACTGGCACAGCCCTTGGGAAGTAGCCTCCTTTGAGGTCCTTGGGGCTGGAGCCAGGGCCCAGGAGGCTCCTAACACTAGGAAGGAGTGGGAGTTCTCTGCGCAGCCAGCAGGAAGGCAGGATGAATGGCTCAGATAAAGTGGTGTCCGTATTGCTACCTCCGACAGCACCCTGATCTCAGTCTATGACTACACCTCAGTCTCCCCATCCATAAAATGGACATAGTAGGGCTGCCTGCAAATCTGTAAATCTTGGGCCTGAGTGGACACTAAGCTCTTCAGGCCAGGAACTTGGCACTGGGTGAGAGGGTACAGACACGAGGAGCACAAAGCCTACCTTTCCAGAGGAGGCAGCCTAGCCCTGTGGGGTGAAGGGTGAGGCAGAGAAAGAACCCTGGGACTCCCTTCATGCACACCCACATGTAGCCCTGTCCCCTGCAGAGCAGAGTCTGATATTCTCCCTTCTAGACCTCAGCTGGGCATGCCAGGCTTCTGGCCAATCTATCCATGTACCTCTCCTGGGCTTGTCTTCCAGAAAGCTTAGGCAGGGGACTGCCCTGGTGTGGATGGAGCAGGAACAAGCTAAATCAGGCCACAGACCAGGTAAAGAGCAGCCCCCACCAGGAAGTGGGAGAGCCCCTCAGTGGCACCTTTCAACACCCTGACCTGGAGCTCTCCCTTTCTGCCACCACAAATAAAGAAGTCCCTATGGAAGAGGGTCTTACCTCTGGATTGCTCTGAGAATCAGGCTGGACAAACCAGTGGCAGAGAACCCCCTCCTGACCCCATTGTTTTGGAAGCTGGGCTCAAACCACTTTCCCATCACACTGCACACTGCCCCCCAGGCACCAGTCTCAAGGAGCCATACTGCCTAGCTGAAGGCAGTGATAATCCTTTGGACACAGGCACCTGGGCCTCAGATCCCCGAGAAGGGAGCTGCATGGCAGGTGGCTGCCACACCCAGCCCTCACCTGACAAGCCAAGGAAGCTAAAGCCTCTGGGCTGCCCCTGAAGGGCAGACAGGACCTCTTCTAGGCTGGCACAGCCAATCCCAGGGTTGCCAGACAGATCCAGAGAGATGAGTGAGGGGCAGCAAAGGAGACACCTGAGACCACATAGGAAGGAGGATTACTCTGGAGCCCACCTAAACTTCGTACAGGGAAAGCTGCTCCAGACACCTACACTCTGGGTGCCTCAAGCCAGGCCCAGATAGCCAACTCTAGGTGTGCCTATCTGGCCTGGGAACTCCCCTGATAGTTGGGCAAGAGTCCAGGGTCATGACAGCAGTGGTCCTTGTCTAGGTTGATGTATAAGAACCACAGGTGCACAGTGAGGAGGCTGGGAGGAGCCAGGTCTTAGGGTGCCCTTTTGGGGAGGAACTAGCACTTCTGTGGCTTCTCCTAATCTGTACCCTTGGGGTACCAGGCCTTGAGATCAGACCAGCCCCCATCCTCCCGACAGTGGGCTGCAGGGTAGAGACGTTACCTGCTCAGGTCTCTCACAGCCTTGTCACCCAGGTGGTTTGCAGACAGGGTCAGGTGGGTCAGAGCACAGCCTTCCTGGATATGAACAGAGGCCCAAGGGGGCCAAGCCAAGTGGAGCACATGCCCTCCCTGCCTCCCAGAGAGGAACCCACACAGAGGAGGCCGGGCACCTGAGGTGCCAGAAGGGAGCAGTGCCCTGCCAATTTGGATATCAGAAGGAAATAACTCTCTTCCTCATAAGCCACATTCAGCACACTGTGATACAGAACTGTAGAGACCCAGTCCGATCTGCAGGGGCCCCCAGGAGATGGCATTGTGGCCGTACCCCCTTGGGCTGGGAACGCAGCTGGAGGCAGGGAGCTATATACAGAAAGCATCCCTCATCGCTGCCTTTTTTTTTTTTTTTTCTTGAGACAGAGCCTCAAGCTGTCCCCCTGGGCAGAGTGCCGTGGCATTATAGCTCACAGCAACCTCCAACTCCTGGGCTCAAGCGAGTCT